TGCGGCCCGCATCTGTCCACCAGGGAAAGGGTGACTCGGAAAGGATGGGGACAGACTAGGTGGCTTTCGCTCCAAGACAGACTGGGCGCATTCTGGTCAAGACCGCCTCTCCCAGACGTGCGGAACCGCCTTGCCCTTTATTGGCTGCGCCCTCCAGCCTGGCGCGCAACCCGGATGGCTCAACTCCCTGGGCCGAGGCGAGGACCAAGACTGAGCTGGGAAGGTGGGATGTCAAGCCCCTGGACCGAGGGTAAGCACCGAGAGGAAAGAGGGGCTTGGGATTAACTAGTCAAAGAAGCTGGGAGTAGGGAGGGGTCACAGGCACGGCTGAGGCAATGGCACGTCCTGGAAGGTCTTTCCTCGGAACACCCCCAACCCCCTGGACTTGCCGCTTTTTGTCCCTCTTCGACCCCACAGCGTTCCCTGCGCTCCACAGGAGGGCACACGGCGGCTCCGCCTCTGCGCGCCCCACCTGGCGCGGCGCAATGCCTGGGCACCCAACATCAGCCACCCTCCCGGACCTGGAGTCCGCGCATCGGTCTTCGGAGCGGGTTGGCCCCTGTCCCCACGGAGTCCCCTGATATCCTCATCGGAGGGGCTGCGGAGCTCGGCCTTGCCTCCTGGGCTCCGCGTCTCCTCTCAGCGTTTCCAAATTCTCCTCTCTAGCTCATTCCAGCTCTCCGTCGGCCCCTCCCAGTTCTCCCACTTCTTCCTCTACTCTGCTTGAATTTGACTCCAGTAGCCCCCAAACAGGGATTGCACCAAAGCTGCTACACCAAATTTAGATCCCCACACGCCCCGGCGTTTTGTTTTTTAATTGCATTAACTAAGCATACACTTTGCAGTCGGCTAGGCGATTTCCAGGGAAATGTTTCCACTACCCTCCTCTCCGTTTGGCTGCAGTCAAGGCGTCTCAGGACATTTTCCAAGAACTAAGAAGCTGGGTTATGTGTAAAATTAAATACAAGGGTCCCCTTGCTTGAATAAATGTGGGAGGACTCATTGGGATGCTACTGCGAGTTTTCTGGGAATGAGGAACTGGACAAACCGTCCTCCTCTCTGAAGAAATACCACCATTTCCCCCAAAGATTCGGAGACACAGACCAGCGCAACATCGAAAGAGCACATCCGTCCCCCAGTAAACTCTTAGTGTTTGGGGGTGGGAGGCATTATATCTTAAGTTCACCTGGAGAAGGTGTGCAATTGCCCAATCCAGACTCATTATAATAAGATCCTCAAAACAGGACGGGATGGTGTGTCTACCATGACTGGCAACCCACACCCACCACCACCTTGTGAGTCCTACAAACAAGCACTGGGAGTGTGAGAGCTAATGATAGCTGACATTTATTCACTGCCTGCGACATACCCACTAAGCCTGCATTTTCTAAAATCACCTCCTCACAAAACTTCACAGCAGTGCCTAGCATATAGCAGACCAGCCGGAAAAAATCACTGAACGGTTGAGTGATTGGTCTAGTTCAACTCTCCTGTGGGTAGTATCCCAACTTGCCCATACCATGGAAGGGAAGATGGGCACCCAAGACAGTGAACGCCTTGCCCACGAGGGCTCAGAGTGAGCACTGCAGTTGGTATTTGATCCTAGAAATTTGACCAGGGTACTTGTGTTCTGACTACTGCGTGGAGTGTGTTTCTAAAACAGAACTCCACGTGCTCTCTCCACCTGGTATTAGGTAAAGTATGGATTTTCCCCTCTCCTACTATTGAGATGTAGCCTCTGCAATGAAAGGGCTTTGAGTCTCTTCCTACGTCCCTTATCACCTAGGCTAGTGCTGGACATGATGATGAGAATTCCAAACATTTGTAGGGACTGTGTGAACTAATGAAGATACTTGATGCAGGACTCGGTTTTAAACCAAGAGGGGAAAGGGATGATGGAGTTTCTGCTGTCATGATATGTACAAAGGGACTGAGAGATCCCTACACACTAAAACAGAGTCAGAAAGGGGTCCTCCTGCCGGCTTCCTCTGGTCCAGAAGCAGAAACTCAGAGAGGTTAAGGGCTTTGTGGAAGATCACATGGCAAGCAAAGGGTAAATCCAGGGCTAGATGCAAATGGGCAGACTCCCACTCCAGGGCTCCCCAGCACTCCTACGCCATTCTACCCGACCACGAACCATGCTATTTCTCAGCCAGCACCAGGGTAAGGCTTAACCAGGAACCTGGTAGGGAGAGTAGGTCATAGGCCCCTTCCTGCAAAGCTTGGTGGCTTTAACCTACTCCTAAATTTAATTTTTAAAAAAACTTAGAGAGTCAAAATCTGGACAGAAAAATCAAGGTTGGGATCTGCCTCTCATCTCCATAAAATCTTGCCTGTCACCAGGACATTTGACTCTGGTCCTGAGAGGAAACTCGTTCTGGCTGTGGCTCCCAGCTTTAATTAACAGAGACTGCCCCCTGTTTGTGAGGAGAAGAGTGCAGGGAGGTGCTTCCCAAAGAAGCAGAGGGAAAGAAACCAGGCTGCCTGGCTTATTCCAAGGATTCTAAACCTTAAGGCTCCTGTCCTTGTAAGCTTTAGCCAAACCAGATTCCCCTCTTGCTCCTACCTGCTGTGGCTGCTGCTGACCCCTGGAATATTTCCCCAGCCTGTTTCCTAAGCTTTTGGGTGAAAAATGTTTAGAAGAAGGAGGAATCATTTTGGTTCATTTCACTCTTCAAAGGAAAAAAGTTGATTTCCTCTGGGCATGTCACGCCTGTGGATGTAGGTGTGCGATATGGGGAGACAGGCCCCAGTTTAGAACATGTGATTGAGAAGGCATTTCTTTCAGGACTGAGGAGGGGGGGAGTATAAACTACCTAATTGAAACACTTGGCAAATTCATGGAAGATTAAAATGATCAAGTGCCCCCCCACCACGACTACCTGAATGGATTCATGCAAATGTCTTGAAATTAAATGCAGCCCTTAATGAAATTGCTTTGTATGAAAGAGGCGATGATGTGATTATTTACAACCCAGGCACTTTCAATATCTAAAGAAGAATCCCATTCATTCTAGCCTTAATTATGTCAGACTGCAGTACACACCGCAACATGAATGCAATTGTATTCCCCAATAATTAAGCAAGGGGATGATGTAACAAAGGATATTTGCTTACTGGGACCCTATGACTAATGTCCATTAGCAATTCAACAAATTAAATTATATGCACCATGGACCTTGCCCAAATGAATTGTCTGTTAATTGTCCTCATCAGGTGGCTTTTAGGGTTTCAAGGAGGTTTCTAAGCAACTGTTAGCCTTGAGAAGAAAAGAGATGAAACAGAAGCTAGCACCTTGCCAGTTTCAAGCAACAGGCTGATATGATGTATTTTACTCTCAGATTCTGAAGAGATATGGGAAGCATTCTAGAAGAAGTAAAGTAGGTCAGAAGTATGATTCTCCCAAACTGATGATGGTATAGGAGATGTTTTTGGTGATATCCTCAACAAAGTTTTGTTTTTGTTTTTGTTTTGTTTTGTTTTGTTTTTAATTTTCTAGAGGGCACATGAGCTTGCTGGCGAAAGAAAAAGTAAGAAAGCACCCCCACAGGAGATGGCCACACCACAATCCCTTCTCCATTTTTTCTTTCAGGATGTTGGGCACATATGCACACACACCTGCCATGTTTTACAAGCCACCACCAGGTCCAGAATTCGATCAGTTTTGTCAGTCATGTAGGATCCAGCTGCCCTAACCCTAACTGTCATGCCTTGCCACTGACTAGCCCCAATTTACATACATATATATATATATATATAAAACATATATTATATATAATATATATTAATTATATGTATACATATATGTGTGTGTATATATATATATATAATTTACTTCAATATGTTTTAGAAAAATAACACATCAAGCACATGAAGTTATGGGCATAATGTTCAAAATGTACTTAGTTCATTGAAGTGCACCAAAGTAAAGCTGATTTAAGAAAAATCAATGTATTATAGTATTTATTAAAGAAATGCACATAAGGGGAAAAAGTAAGTGTCTGGCACTGAAAACTGATATTGAA